AATATTTTCGACCATTTCTTTGCTCTGACGAAGGTAATTTATGATCATCGTTCAACTTAATCTGTTTGTCTTTCAATAAAATATCGAAAATTTTATCTGCCTTTGTTACATCAAAAGTATATGTGCGATTTGCCATTTTGTCTTTTACTTCATTTTTCTGTAGCAATTTACAAATATATGGAGCTCCTACTTTGAGCTCTGCTATGTTTACTTTCTCATCGACAGATTCTTTAATATCTACTTCTGTCCTGGGATCTTCCTCATATATGTAATTTATATATGATATTCTTTCTTTCTTCATGGGTTTCTCAAATTTCTTGTATCTTTGTTTCTCATATTCGATTTGTTCCACTCTTCTCACTTTATCAGCTAACTGAGCCATGTCATTCAACGGCAAATTAACTAACTTTTTCCTAATCGAGAATTCTACACCTGCAGAGGCCATTCTGACTAACTCAAATTCAGGAATTTGAGTAAAACATCTCGACTTCATTTGCCTAAATCTATTCAAATAATCATCCAAGCTTTCATGATTGTATCTCTTTATATTCATTAAGTCAATAAGACTTACTTGAGTCTCCCCTCTAAAGAATTGCTCATGAAAATTTCTTTCTAATTGCAGCCAATTATATATCGAAGTAGGTGGCAACGAAGTAAACCAAGTGAAAGCATTCTTTGTTAATGAACTAGGAAAATATTTCATTTTTAATTCTTCACTCATCGCTAAGTCCTCACATTCGATTTGATATCGCGCCACATGCTCGATAGTGGATTCACCAATTTCTCCAGCAAATTTGGTGAATTTGGGTATTTTGTATCCTCGAAGTAATTCTGTCTCGAGAATTGTATTTGGGAAAGGAGAAACAAATTACGGTTGATTGGGTGGTCTTAATTCCACTCCTTGGGGATTCATCCTTTGACCTAGCATGTGATTATACTGCATGTTATTTTGATTATACATATTTTGAAATCCCTCATTCAAATTTCCATAGGTTTCATTCCTCACATGCTGATATTCATTCCCTATATGCCGATATTGATCATTGTTTCGATTTCTCCGTAATAGATACGGAGGATTGATATTAGTGTTTTGATTAATATTCTGATTGGCATTATTTTCGATCCTCGTTTATCGAGGTATTGCCAATACATCCCCGATACGTGCCATTTGGTCTGCTAATATCTCAAAACTAGTAGTAGTGTTTTGCACTAATGGGTTTAATACCGTAGTCAACTGTTGCGATAACATGTTGATCATCTCAAAGTTACTCTCATCCATTTGTTGTCGAAGTACTCCTAATGAATTACTGGAGATTCCAGTATTAGCGTTTTCAATAGTCTCAAAATTGGATCGATGGTAATCTCTATCAAATGTATACCTTCCTTGATCCATGTTTTCTCTATGATCTAGGTTTGAAGGTGTCTATTGTGTTCCTAGATTCTGAGCGTTCCCTAAATTCTGGGGTGTTACTAAATTTTGGGACATCCCTAAGTTTGGGGATACTCCAAAATTTTGAGGCATACCTAAGGTTTGAAACATTCCCGAGTTTTGGGGCATTCCTAGGTTAACTCTCGTATTCCGTTGTATCGAAGAAGTACCGACCCCATTCATATTATTAAACGAAAACCCAGGCGGCCTTACACTCACATATGGCCCTGCATATGTTATTACGGGGTTTCCCGTAGTTTACATATTGTTTGACATTACAGTACTAGACCCTAACTGAGTATTTGCTAATGAGCCTGAGTTTTGTTCATTACTCACAGGCATCGATGTACTCCCAGTTGTCGATACTACATGCATACTCCCATTGTGAATTTGCCCCCCAGTGTTTGGTGGATTCGGACTATTAGGAATCTCACTATTACCCTGACTATTTGGTGGATTTTGACTCATTCTTACTACTCGTCCACTCCTTAGTTTCATACACTCATCGAACTAGCCAGACTTTTTGTATAATACACAATATTCCCCTACCTGGCGCGCCAATTTGTTTCTGGTGAAAATTTGATCGATTTCGGTTCCTAAGAGATTTTGGTTCTAACCAAATTTCAACCACGTAGATTTTTTCACTTAGGCTAGCAAATAGTTTTCAATTGAAAATATGTATGAGAATCGAAAATGCCATAATATCGAGAAATGTTAACAATGCAACCTATCATACAAATCGACAATCAAAAGTATTATTTTTGGTATTTTTTATTAAGAAACGCGAAGTAAAGAAAGTAGTAAAAATATCGAATCGAAAAGCAGTGCAGAATATTAAATTGCAGAGAAATGTAAAATGCGGAAACCTCGAAATTGCAGAAACGGTAAATGACAAGAAATTAAAACTGCATGAAAATTAATAACCGGAAATCGAAATTGCAGAAATGTAAATGGCGAGGATCTTAAACGCATAACCTTAACTTGCATTAAAAGTAAAATAACAAGGAATTGAAAGTGCGGAAACGTAGAGTTACTAAACGTAAAATGCATCAAAGTAAATTGCATGAACATAAATTACCAGGGATAATAAAGAAAGCGATACAGACAATCAATGAAAATGGAAGCCTAGATCGCCAGAAACTTCATGATTCGTCGTTCTCCGGTAGACTTTTCACTTGTGCTTCTGTTGTCTCTGCCAATTTCCCTTTTCCCTTCATCTTTCGCTCTATTTATAGAGCATCCTTCAAGTAATCTATTAGGAGTAGTTAACGAAAACTGCTACCACGACCTGCGTGCACGTCCTTTGCAGTTTTACTTCTAGTTCTACGGTTTAAACAACTGCATTCACGTTCCCATGCATGAGATAACTTCTCCCTTGATCTTCGACCTCTGCCACGGTTTAGAAACCGCTTAGCATGTTCTATGTGCACGTCAACTGTTCATCTCTTTATAACTTAGCCAGAATTTCGATAGTCATGTAGGTTAGCCTTTCCCTCGATCTCGATGCCAAATCTCGAGAACTTTGACCTTAGCCAGAATTTCGATAGTCATGTAGGTTAGCCTTTCCCTCGATCTCGATTCCAAATCTCGATTCATGTGTCCATACTTATATGGTCATCAAATGTTTTCCAACCATCTTTTCAATTTATCAGCTTTTTAACCAATCATATGATCCTCGATTTTTTCTTTCCTTCGTTTTTCGATCCCTTTATCGATTTCCCACTAACAGGACTAAATTTCATTTAGTGAAGATAAATTTTATTTAATAATAATCAAAATAATTTATCTAATTAAGAAAATAAAAATTTAATAAATAAAAATTAAATTATACAAACAAATAATTTAAAAAATTAAATTTTTTAAATAAAAACAATTTAAACATTAAAATTACAAAAAATTTCATGGAGACATGACTTAAGAGAATTTGAAATACAGAAAAATTAAAACTGTGATAAAGATAATTTCATTACTGGTAAAAAAATCTTCCATGGCCCAACAAAATTTGAAGATGTTAGTTGCATATGAATTCCTGATTGTTAACGAATTTGAAGACCTATAACTTTCGTTTCAATTGACCTTCTGAAAAAGATAATTATTGTTGTTATGGCTCTTCATACCACGAAATTAAATATTTAAGATCAAGATGATCAATATATTAATCATTCATTACGGTGTTTTTAAGATGTATTTATGAGAGAATTAATATAAAAACATTCTTATAAATATTGAAGATATTAAACTATGATCTTTTTCTATTTTTCATATTTAATTTACAATTTCAAAATACACTTAATTTTCAATACTTCTTACATTTAACAATTGGGATAACAAACCTAGCCACACTCATTTTTAGTTCAACCAATCAAACTCAAACAATCTTGATCATTCTTATTAGGATTAAACATAACAAAAAACTATTAAAACCTAATTAAATTTAAATAACATTTCCCCTCTTTCTTGGAAATCAAATCTTCAGATAAATAAGCCTATACAAGTGACATAGATAAAAAAAATAATATAAATGAAGTATAAAAATAAATGTGAGTGAAAAAAAATGTTTGTATATCAATTTTGGTAAACTTATTTCGTAAATTATTAATATTATAACATTGAGTTTAATGATACTGTTGTGCTATACTATCAAGTTAGAAATATAATAAAATATGACCAAATTATTAAATATTAAGGTTCTTAGCTAATATATTAGTAATAACTAATATATTTTTTTATTTTTTCTGGTAGTTTTCTTTGGAAGAAGAGATGAATGAGAGCGACCCATGTGGGGGAAGCGAAAACGGAGAATAGTTTTCAATCTCATGCACTGTTGTTTATAAAGATGAGTGCACATAACATGGAATAGGAGACAACTTACCCTTCACAATCCCAATTGCAAGTTTCTTCACTTGCATCAACATAGTATACCCCAACCTTCACCTTTTCTCATACCACACAATTAATTAATTAAAATATTAAATACTTGTGATATATATATAGTTAATATTGACGTTATAAAATTTGTACGGACTTGAAAGAATATCATGCTTTCAAAGTATAGTTAGTATTGTAAGTGGAAACCAGTTAATAAATTCATATATATAAGGTTTTTAATGTTTAGTTTGTGAAATATAGACTATCTTCTATTTATAAAATTTTCCATGATAGTGCCAACAACTTTCATGGCAAGGGTGGTGTTGGACATTTTAATTTAATTTAATAAATAAATTAAGAAAATTCTCATTTTAAATATTCACTTCGTATGTATAATCAATGTTTTAATTTTTTCCAGAATAATTTTATATTCTTAATTCTCATTCTTCATTATTTTTTAATAATAATACGTTATAGTAGAGGATGATATTTTGAAAGTGGTATTGAATCTCCATGGGGGAGTGTGGAAAAGAAAACAGAAAAAAATATATATAAATAGATTGGTGGGGAAAGAAAGAGAAGAAGAAGGATCAAGTCCAGTGCCATTTCCTTTTTGGAGTGGAAAAGCGAGACTTTCTCCATTGCAACCCCATCTTCCTTCCACAAAACAAAACCATCAAAATCCTCAGGTTGTGTTGTAAGAATGGGTTCTGGATGGAGAAGGACGTTTTGCACAACCAGCAACATGCCCCAAAACACCCACCCACTGCCATCACCATTACCAGAAAACCAATCTCATTATCCAACTCCCAAAAACACTTCCACTTTCTCACTTTTCTCCACTCCTCCATCAATTCCACACTCCGAGTCTCGCCCCACCCTCCGTTGCCGAACCAATTCACCACTCTCCAAACACCAATGCAACAACAACGACAACAACCGCGCTACAACACCCTCTCCCACCAAACGCAACACCCCCACGTCGTTTCACCTCTCCGCTCCCTCTTCCCCCAACTTCTCTCTTCTCAAACCCTCCTTACGCAAAGTAATTATTCAAACCACACCCTACTCTACCCTCTTAATTCATTCTCAGTTTTCTTCTAACCACTTTTTGAAATTTCTCTTGCAGAGCTCATGCGGAATCTGCGCGCAGAGTGTCAAAACTGGCCAAGGAAAAGCAATTTTCACTGCGGAGTGCTCTCACGTCTTTCACTTCCCATGCATAGCTGCTCACGTCAAAAAACACCGAATCCACACGTGCCCCGTCTGCAACGCTAACTGGAAACAACTTCAAACTGCGGATGAAAACAAACCACACCACATCAAAACAACCAAGTCGTTCAAGCTACCCAACTACAACGACGACGAGCCACTCATGTCGCCCACTTCGGTCTCGCGTTTCAACCCCATACCTGAATCCAACGAGAACGAAGAAGAAGGAGAGGAAGAGCAAAACGACGAACCATTAAGTTTTGATGTGTCTTCGTCGCTCAAAACAAGAAACATCGAGGTCAGCTTCGCTCCAGAGGCTGCGATTGTGGCATCCAATTGGAGCTCCCAGACGTATGTTGCGCTGTTCAAGGTGATGGCTTCGCCGCGTAACGAGGTGGCGAATCGACCGCCGGTGGACCTCGTCACAGTGCTAGACGTTGGAAACACTGTCTCGGGTAAAGAGCTTCGGATGCTGAAACGTTCGATGGAAGTCGTGATCTCCTTGCTCGGCTCCGCCGACCGTCTCTCCATCGTCGCATTCTCTGGTGGCTCCAAAAGGCTGTTTCCGCTGCGGAGGATGACAGGCCGCGGTCAGACAGCGGTGCGGCGAGTAGTCGACGCGCTTGCCGCCGTCGAGCTCCACTGCGACGGAACCCCGACGATAAACGACGCGCTGAAGAAAGCCGCGAAGGTTCTAGAAGATCGAAGGCAGAAGAACACCGTTGCCAAAATCATTCTCCTCACAAACGGCCACGAGGATCAGCGGTTATCCACCACGCGCTTCGAGGTGCATTCCCTCATATACTCTCACGATGGCGCGTGTGCCGACGCGCAGCATGACACTAATTTGGCGACACGCGTGGGGAATTTTTTAAGTGTGGTTGCACAAGACTTCAAACTTGAAGTAAAACTCGCGTCGCGCTCGGCCCCGGCGGAGATTACTACCGTGTATTCTATGGGCAAGGATTGCACCGATGCTCTATCACCTGATTCCGTCGCGCTCGGCGATCTCTACGCGGCGGAGGAGAGAGAACTGCTAGTGGAGATAAAAGTGCCAGCTGGCACTACTTCCCGTGGGTCCCACCATCGTTTTATATCCGTACGGTATTCACACCGTGACCCCTTCACTCAAGAGCTTGTGAATTCCAAGGAGCGTGAGTTAATCGTTCCGCGACCCCACGCGGTTCGATCGTGCGATCCGAGGATCGAGCGGTTGAGGCGTTGCCACGTGAGCTCTCGCGCCGTAGCCGAGTCGAGACGGCTGGTGGCTCGCAACGATGTGTCTGGCGCGCTTCATTTGCTATCATCGGCTCGAGCCTCTGTGAGCCGAGAACAGGGTGATGAGTGTTTGAGGTGGCTCGAAGCCGAACAAAGCGAGCTGAGAAGCCAAAAGTTAAGATGTGGTAATAATTGCTTGGAGGAAAAGGGGGAGCCGCTTACGCCGATGTCGGCTTGGAGAGTAGCTGAGAGACTGGCTAAAGTGGCTATTATGAGAAAGTCCATGAACAGAGTCAGTGACTTACATGGCTTCGAGGATGCCAGATTTTAACTCTATTCCCCTCCCTTTTTTTTTTTTCTTTCTTTGATATAGTTATTATTTTTGTAGTTTGTAGAGCGAGAAAATAAAATAAAGTGTCAATAAAAAATACTGTTTTCCTTTTATGGTTAAGAAAGTAATACATGCTTTTTTTATTAAAAATACTCTTTCCACTTTCTTTTTTCACTTTAAAAATCGCGAACCACGAAAATTTAAAAAGAAAATGAAAGGTAGAAGTAAATGTAAGAATGGACGGAGTTTATTTTTTGTGAAACGAAGAAAATGTGTGGGAAAGGAAAAAATGGGCAACAGGCATGGGCAACAGGCATGGGCAATGCTACAAGAGTAGCCATAATACGGACAAGAAGTACTTGACGACTAGACCCTTTCCTTCATAGAAAAGGAACCGATTGTGATAGCTACATCAAATGAGATTGGAATTGGAAAATATCAAATGAATTTAATGGGGTTGTAGTTTTGCTCCTTTTGTTTTCAAATATACCTGCTTCTTAATTGAAGGTGGCATTATTTGGGTCTAATCAAGGAAAATGTTTTAAACTAGTGACAGGCAGCAATGGGTTTGGTTTTGTATGTTTGCATGAGCTGTTAATTTTGTGGCAGTGTCCGGAAAGCCAGATGGTGGGTCTCACTTCAGACTTAGACAAAGGACGATGTCAGGTACCTTGGAATTTTTTTGGCATTACATGACATTGCTCTCTCAACTTTGAAATTCTTTTAAGAATGTAAGAATTGGAGCAGGTTGCTGCTGCTATTCCAATCCTATCTCATAACCGATGTAACTGAGATTTTTGTTGACACCTCATCTTCAATTCGCCCAGGCCAAGATCTTATCCTCCATATTCTGCTTGGTGCCTACTCATGTGTGGCGCACTTAGGTAGTGTGGGGTTTGCTTCCATGGTGCCAAACAACAACTTCAAAAATGCACAGTGATGGCAAGCAACTAAAATTATGATGAGAGAGACCATGACACCAATGAGAAGGACTCGTTTTCTATCGTCCTTACAAATCAAAAGTACAAGGCAAATTGGGGGGATAAGGTGCGTGCATGTTCTCTTCCTTCTTTTCATTATGCACATTTTTTTATGATAAAGTCTTATTTCAAAGTGTGCGTACTTGTATGATGAGATTCATGTAACTGCACCCTTACTTTTATTGGAAATGCTTATCTGGTTATCGAGTTTCCTAGTGTCACGTGTCGCCCCTTTATGAAGAAAAAGGATGTGTGTAATACAAACAAATCTTAAGACGGTGCGTCAAATCATCAATGCCAATTTGGCATTCACTTTACTTTCTGTCACCAATGAAATCATGTCCATGGTGTAAATTTTCCGATCCAACACAACCACTCAATACTCAAAATTAATAACACCAACAAATTAGTCATTATAATGATAATAAGAATCTTCTTGAATTTCAATTCTATCACTTAAAATTTACCATATTCGTTTTTTTTTTGTCTAAATCTAAATTCTCACGTTCCTTACTGAGAGAGCTCAACCCCATGTGATTTGGCTAAAAGATGCTTTAATGCGCTCCATAATTGGTCCTTAGGATTCTTAATATGAAATAATAATCATTATATTCCACCATATATTACTTTTTACGCTTTATCTTGAAGTATGATCGAGGCAAACAAATTGAATTTCAGCATCAACATGTTTCTCTCAACCCAAAATCGTGTAGTTGATTGATGCTATGATGTAAGTGACCTTAATGTCAAGGACTTCCTCAACATTCCCATCATTGTTCCGATTACGCAGTGTTCATACGCTACTATATTGTAGTCCTTATATATCTTGTTAGGAATTTGAAAAACTAAACAAAACGAGGGTGCTAAGTGAGTAAGACCATTACTTGTTTGGTCAATGATGAAGTGAGACATTATGAGTTGAGTCACATAAATTTGTAGAAAGATGGGAGAAGAGAGAAAGGGTGTTTAGAAAGACATGAAGCATAGATCCATGTGAAAGAGAGAAAAGGGAATGACAATGAACGTTAAGCCTAAAGTTTATATCTTTTGGCTGGTCCCTTTGGACCCGTTTTCCCTTCACTTTTGGGGCTACACTGAGAATTTCCTCAATTTACTCAACTAAAGTTGCGTTTACAATTGGGTGCCTTTACTTCCCATTTTCGATTGTACATCTCAAAGGTCGAATAATAATATGAAAATTCCCATAAAGGTACATTACTATTTGCTTGCTTACTTCTAAGCATACATGTTTAGCTAGGAGGGCCAACCAATAACTGATTTTTGTTCAAACATCATCTAGTATTTACAAGTATATTTCTTCTAACAAGAAAAATAGTGATTATAACGAGTAAAAATGAATACCTCTACGTTGGTTTAGCATAGGAAAATATGTTCAAAGAATTTTTTTTTTTTTTTTTTTTTGTAATTAAGTAGATATTTGTCATGGAATAATGGACTAACCCGTCCAAATTATAAAGAAGTATAACTCTTATATTAATTTTTTAAATATTCTAATCAAGTGATATTGACGTCATTGCTTTTGGCAAATTTGGTTAGGATGGCAACAGAGGTAAACTCTTTTTACATGATTACATCACATAAACCAGACTTCAATTAGTGTAATAAGTATCGTTTGTTTTACTGTTATTCTACCAATAACTAAACTAACTTGAAGTAGTTAAAGGTGAGAAAACTTAAGAAGGATTGATTAGTAGAATACTAAAGAGGGAGAAGGGAAAATTACTATGGTTAATGTCTGAAGAAAAAACACACACACACAAAGGTGAGGTTGTGTGTACATATAGGTTCTAAGTTTTTTTTTTTTTTTTTCATAATAAAAAAAAACATAAACAATCTTTTATATTGATTCGCTTACAATTTAAATTATGTCTGGTCTCTTCTACCAAGAAAGAATCCACTAATCATCTTTGGTTAGTAAGTATTATCATATCTCTTTAGGTAATACAACAATAATCTTACACAAGATTACTGAACCACGAGTTTTATTTGATCATCAAGATTCCCTATATTTTTATCAACAATACGAGTTGTAAAACAGAATAAAATCGTAAAGGATATAAACTAATTATAGTGTATAACATCGTCTACTCAATTAATCAATCACAGATATGAGTTGGCTTATTTGATCTCTTGAACCTTTAGATTTTCTTCTGTGACTTCCTTTTATATTTCTTTCAATATGTTCGATATTACTTCCTTCGTTGGTTCAAGCCATTCATCGACCCATTAGGAGAGGAACATTCAACTTGAGTGTATCAAAGCTTATTCAAATAATTCTGGTGATTATTAATCAATGAAGGACTTGTCGGACATATCCAAATTAAAAAGAATTTCTATTTACAACAAATTTATCAAATACAGACATCACAACAAGGCATGGGCTTTTGCATACGCCATACACTGTTACACCTATGCTAACACATGATTCAGTTTATACAAGAATGTCACACAAATCCATCAACATCAGAAATATAGTTGTCTGCATTGGGCTGCATCAATATCAAAGGGGCAATATGGGCACTTGAATACTTTCGTGCTATTCTTTGACATCTTCAAGATAGACTGCTTGCACAGGACATGGCCACAGGACATTAACATCGGAGGGTTATCCTCGGTTGCTTGTTCCTTTGAGACAGGACAAACAAAAATTGAATGAAACTGGAACTCGCTGTCCAACTCAACTGGCACTGGTAACTGGTTCATAGACTGCCATTCATGCTTCTTCCCTGCCATAACATTCATAAATTTGAGGAGAGGTGGCAAAACCTGGACCCCTGCTGCTACAGTCACACTCAACGGACTATTGTAGGACTGTCCCAGAAGATTGCAGAACTGCCTTTTAAGTTCCTCAGCCAACTTATCCCAGTTAGATGGTGATAGTAGTGCATGGTAAGGAGATCGATCAAGCTTTCCAGTCCACAGAAGACAGCCCATAAGCTTCTGAATCTCAGTCATGTATCTCGAAGCGAAAGGAGAAAGGTGTGTTCGGGCGTAAGTGAGGGCTTCCTCTCTACTTCCATTTTGAAGTACTTTCACAAATTGCATTGTGTGAAGTTTCAGTACAATATCAGATCCACTTCGAGCAAGTTTGTCACAATTAGTGGCAGCCCAGTTGAGGGCTGGCTCTAGGTTCTGATTCTGCATGGCTTCAAGTATTTGATACATTTCCAGGAATGGGGATTTCATAATGGCAGCAGATTCCGGCTCTCCAACCACACTCATGAAATGGTCCCCTATTTCAAAAAGGCCCTGGCGGTAAAAATGGTTGGCAATTATTTGGTTTAATGTATGAATATCAATGTCGATATTTCTATAAGCCTTGGATATATCAGGGTTGAAATTTTTTTCAAGAAGTTTCCCATACTTGCTGAGTGCTACATTTAGCTCCTTCTGTGTCCCTTCCATTAGACTAAGTGGTGCAGCTTTAAGTAAACTGGCCTTGAGTTCATTCATGACAGTTTTGTAATCAAGTTCATGGTTAGTGTTATTCACTGACTGTATTGTGTCTAAAACACTCTCAATTTCTTGTCTGATCTGATCAATAGCTTCTTGAGTCTTGGAACAAGATAACTTTTGCTTCTTAGTAACACGGTCAAAAGCATCTTTTATAGTACTCAGCTCCATATTGAGTATTAACTTAATTTACAACTCGTGATACCTGCAAAAGTTCATAGTGTTAATACAAAACTTTTAGGAACAACTATGCAAACTACTGGTACCACAATTTGTTATGCTTTTATTCCAAAAAAAGAAAAAAATACATAAAAAAATCTTGTGGATAGAGAGAGACAGGGAATACAATGTAGGAGAACTAGGAATCCTCTCAAAACAGAATGTACACTACAATAAAGGAAAAGTAAAAGAAAAACACACATTCCCAACAAAAGACAAGAGGGAGTTGAGCTCACAGTTTAGGTAACCAGTTATGAATTAAAACAGAAATATGGTCAGAAAATGATCTATGGAACAAATTGTTAAAGATAGTCACCCACATGAGTGCAGATGTTTTTTTGGTGTGGAAAGAATGAATACTTTAGTGGTAAAGAAAGTCATTTTATTAGAAACTTAGTTCCAGCCAATCCAAATCATTGCCAAATAATCCATAATCAGAATAGATAGCCCCACCTAGACATCCCCCAAAGAATCCATACTAACAAATGAAACAAAGCCTAGAAAACACAGCAATCAAACAATTGAGAATTTTATAAATTATTTCTAAAATTTTTGTCATACGATACAAGGCGTAAACCTCAAGAACAACAACCAGTTTCTTCAAGGACAATCTTGGCTATATTAAATCCCTTATAATGTATTTTGAGTGCATGTGTTTGAAGAGCTCCAGAGAGAACATCTTCAAGCAGCGAACAAAAACACCATACTAATAATCTCTACATACTCATACTAATTGAGACTTATCTTTTTAATTTAATGAATACCAAAAGCTGCAAAACACCATGAGAGACTCCATCCACATTGGGGAACATAAATTTAGATGAAGACAAATAATCGACAAACAACAATTTAAGTATAAAATAAAACTAGAATTAGAATAAGTAAACCACTTACATATTCCTTTGCTTTGGTTAGAACGTAATTAAACCCTTCTAACAAGGCTTTAGAAAGAATAAGTTCCGAAATATTAAATTATTATAAATTCATTCTATTAGTCAAATAAGCTATTTGAATTGGGGGGCAAGTTGCATCTTAGCATTTATTCAAGCATGTAACTCTATCCAGAAATAATAATATTCCAGTGTCTGCATCATGTTTCACAATACTTTTGCTGTCTACGCACGACGCTAACCAAACGGTCTAGGACGAAAACAACAACAATAAAAAAATAACAGAACCTATGGGCCATAAAGTAAGTTCCACTCATATCCAACATATCAGAATACAGGTCCACTATAAATTGAAGAGAACATATTGACGATCCACAAGCAGCTGAATCAACAAACATCCAGAACGTGGATCAAACCCTAACAAAATAGAGTTGAAATTGATTCCATTCCCGTGACAGGACCACCCAAATGGAAAAATGGACAATACCAACCTCTCTAAATTCCATCACAATTCCCTAATTTGAAATCTATGTTCAACTCAACAAAGATGATAGACACAATTTTTTACAATTTAAGGTCCAACATTCAAGCATGCCACATCTGCCCGAGCAGGTCACATGAAAAGGCCAGAAAGATAAAATCCAGAAACATAAGATTAAACGAAGAAGAAGAAAGGATCGCGCACGCAAATGAAAAAAGGCATCTTGTAATGGTAAATTCCAGAAAAATAAAGCTCATCAAAACCGTTTTTTGTTCATCGACTCAACCGTGTGGCATACCATACGAAGCCAAAATTATTAAGCCGTATTTATTTATTATGATGGAGAGATAAAAAAGTGAGAGAGAAGATGAGGGTGAAGGGTGTCGCATAATGTAAATGGTGAAAAAAGGGAAAAAGAGAAGCTTACTGAAAATGGAGGTAACAGATCTGTTGAGGTTGTTGGTTCGGGCAAAGAGCAAGAGGAGAGAGATGGATGCAGTATGTGTGAGGACGGAAAGGGGTAAGAGGAAAAGGGTTACGTTGCGTGTCGTTGGTTCATCCAGTGAGTCACTGTGTATCCCACTTTACCCACCCAAGCCCACTTTGTTCCTCAACCAAACCCAACCTGACCCACGATTTCTAGTACACTTATCGTGGATTTTACGATTTTTAGTACTTCTTGGCCCAATGCGGCAATGCCTTACCCTACCCACCCACGTTACCACATTTTGATGTGTCTTAATTTCCTAACCAAATCAACAAAATGATCTTAATTATAATAAGAAGACTTATTATGTTTTATTGCTGAAATTTAAAGTGTATCAGCTTTGATTCTTTATATTTTTAAAATAATATTTTTCAATATATGTTTTTATTATATTAAATAAAAATATAATATGATTTTATCACATCAATAAAGGAATTATTTCAATATATATTTCTTATTATTTAATGAAAAAGATTTGTATTATAAGGTCAATAAATGCTTACGATGATTTATTAGCATTAAAACATATGCCTTGACATTACTTATATAAACATGTTGTTTGTACAATCATAAAATCAATAAATAATGAATAGTTTGCTTAATCCAATTCACAGTATATATTTATTGTACAAAATTTATTATAATAAAATATAATGACATGTTTTTGTGAATAAGAATATTCTGCGTTTCGGGTAAAATTTAAAGAACGACATATTCCAATTAATTCCAATAATTATTTTTATCATGCCAATTAATCCAAATATTTTTTTTTATGTATGAGGAAAACAAATGATCTGAGATAATTGATTATCTTTAATTAAATTCTCATATTAGAGTTTTTTTTTTTTTGAGAGGCGTTTTTTGTGGTGGCAGAGAAAAAACCACGAGAGAAGAAAAATTGTGTTTGAATTCTTAGATTTGGCATCTTCGATTCTTTATCTATTCTCGTCACACTCACCGGAATAAACGTGGGAACTCGGCATTTGTCAACCCGACAAATATGGAGTACCGCAACAAATTCGTTCTCGCTCCCATGGTTCGCGTTGTGAGTTCAACTTCCTTTTCATTCTCTCTAAACTGCCAATTTTTTTCCTACTTCCAAACCAAACCGCAACATTCAAGTGGTTATATCTGCCTTTTTTGTTTCATAACTTTGTTTGGTAGGGCACTCTCCCATTTAGATTACTCGCTGCTCAATATGGTGCAGATATCACTTACGGGGAGGAAATCATTGATCATAAAATGCTCAAGTGCGAGCGCCGAATCAACGGTACACAACCACGCTTCCTTCTTTCTCTCAATTGCACCCTCTTATTATGAATTTGACATAATACTGCTTTTATACTCTTTTCTAATTGAATCAATGCTAAATAAATAAACTATGCAGAGTTTAGTTCTAATGTTGTATTGTGTTCCTCTATATGATAACTGTCAATGCTTGTTTATTATTTATGATGGCTAGATATCAACTGCTAGATTATTCATATGCCTGTGTTTTTTCTTATTTGCATTTATTATACTAAAACGTATTTTCTTATTGATTCTTTGTCAGAACTCCTTGGATCCACTGATTTTGTGGAGAAGGGGACAAATAGTGTTGTGTTTAGAACCTGTGATGAAGAAAAAGATAGGGTTGTATTTCAAATAGGCACATCTGATGCTGTGAGGGCCCTAATTGCTGCTCAGCTAGTGTAAGTTAATTGTGTATTTGGTTTCCCTCTTCACACTAAAGTTGATATACCTTATTTGCTTTTACTTTTCTATATGAAATAGTTGCGCATGAGCTGTAGTTTTTTTAATTGATCGATTTCCTGATGGGATCAGTTATTTCCTGTAGAAAAAAAAAAGAGATGTGGCTTGGTTGATATTGTTGTTGATGGCTCTTAATGGTTTTTGTATTGATCTTAGTATATATAAGACTGAAAAAGTGAAACCTGTTCAGGTATATAGATTAAATGATGCCATCTTAGTCATATTCATGATTAGCTGGAAGATCTTTTCTACTGGCAATTCCAAACCTACGGAACTCATAATATTCTATCTTGAAGTATGTATGTTTAAATGTAGCTTTTTTGACACTGAACAAGCAACTTAGTTAAGTGTTTTTGTTTTCCTTTTTCCATTTATATGCTTGGGCTGCAGGTGTAATGATGTTGCTGCTATAGATATTAACATGGGTTGCCCAAAGGCTTTTTCTGTGAGTGGTGGGATGGGTGCTGCGCTGTTGTCCAAACCAGAGCTTATTCATGATGTAAGTATATAATCTTTTCCATTTCTGATTGTGCTTCTGAAACGTGTTTGAATCCTTTATCTTTAAAAGTCCAGATCTTAACAACATTAAGGAGGAATTTGAACACACCAGTCACTTGTAAGATTCGACTTCTAAAATCACCACATGATACCGTGGAATTAGCCAGAAGAATTGAGAAAACTGGTGTTTCTGCTCTTGCAGTCCATGGAAGGTAATCTCCAAGTCTTGCCACTTTTTCCTGGACCTTTTCTTTCTCTGTTGTGAACTAATTATCAACCAACCTAATATATGTTTACATAGACAATTATTGTCATTAGGATCTATCACAATTTCATTGATCTATCTTATATTGTTTTTATGTTGTGCGCTGACTATGTTGGACAACTTTTCTCTGTAATCTGGCCTTGGGATGATATATAGTGTGTGGTACAAGGCACATCAAATCAAAGGCTTGTTTAACTGTTTTCTAATCAGTCAAAGCAGGATAATGCTTTGATAATATCTTATACCAAATGGGATTATGAAAATTTCAAACTATTAGGATATTTATAACAAACTATCATGACAAGTTTTTGTTAGAGGATCTTTAAAGTGTCTTATTGCGAAACGTGTGTTCTACTTGTGGAGGTAGGCTACATCGATTGTGTGAGGCCACTATGTTCGATCAGAAACCAAATTCTCGGGGATATTATGATAGTACACTGAAACTAGAGATTTAGGCACACTACTTGAATAGAAATTGCAGCAAAAGCTGTCCTATAGCTATAACAACTCCTACAGAATAACTTTTTCCATAGAATTTCCTAATGCACTTTTTTGGTCACTCCTTTCATATAGGCCATTTTTTAATTTTACATAATGACTGTTCCTATAAAACTTAATAACTGCCTACCATCAGACTAACATAAAATAACTGTTTTGAAATACACAACTGAACCTAATAAAACAATTTAGCATCTGCTCCTGAAAAATCAACCTTATCCCAAGGCTGAACACAAGAAATTGGTTCTTCCTCATCATCTTTATCCACTTCAACAACAATTACTTTACCTTCTATTTTTAGAGCTTGATATCTCCCAAAAATACCAGTCTTAATTGTTTCTCTGCACATTGATGTAAAAGGTGAAACTTTTCTCCAGACCAAAGACAATAGTTGGAAAAACAACTTAGGGATGCTGGAAAAGTTGGAGAGAAAAATTAGCTTAGTCAAGATCACTGGGATGATCATCAGCCTGAGAGACAATTCATGTCAAGCAAAGCAGGTCCGTCCATTTCAAAACCATATTTGAAGGCTTCGAACTAATATTATTGGAGACCCAAAATTTTTAAACTTGAGCTTGTGGTTTTTGGGATAGAGACAATGTCAGCACATATAGTCTATTGCATTTTGTGACAAAGACAGGGCTAGTGCATGTAGTACAAAGGCAGGGCTAGTTAATGTGGGACAAAGCTGGGGCCATTGCATATAAGACAAGATCGGAGCCAATGCATTTGGGAAAAACCAGTGCCAGAATTGTGTTATAAAGTTGGGAGCACAGGGTGTGTTAAGGAAAAGTCGGACAGTGAATGGCACTTACGAATAAGAGCGGCAACCAAATTAGTATCTAGTGGGAAACTGACAGTGATGCTGGAAATATTAGAAACAATGAAATATGTGACTAATTAGAGTTTTGCAATTTTTGGTTTTGGGCAACTCAACCGTGGAATTGTGACAAAACAGGTCATGGAGGATGATACAACTATGATATCATGTTTTTTTGGTACAGTATAAAAAAAAAACTACATAGGTAGACTCAAGTCCTGCCTAAAGGCAACCAAGGCTTCATTAGGAAGATTCTGCCAACAATGATCCCAAAACTGATTAGTAGACCTCTACCAGCAACAACATCAACCAAAGAGATATCATCCCGGTAAATATGCACTGATGGACAACTCTAGTCTCTAAACATGAGATCGTTGATATCTAACAACAGCTCAAACAATCTGTGAAGGCAAACAACTTGCACATTCCAATTTCTGAGAATATTTACGAGATCAAAATTATTTGATTCACAAATAATATACCCTTATCACCGCATAGGATAAAACCCATTTTTGTAGTTTCTTCCAATGTACGAAACAGTCACTAGAGCCCAAGCGTTTGGAGAAATCATGGGTCGTTTCCCTGCTGAATCTCTTAACACCACCAATCCCCATGACAACTGAAGTTGAAATGTAACTGCCATTTACTTTCAACTACGAAAAAGGATGCTTAGGACAAGACCATACAATGTCGTGTAAATTGGGAAAATTGAGCTTTAGCCCTTGGAGGAGTGAACTCTTTCTCTTATTTTCTATTTAATTTCATATAATTATTAAATTATCTTTGGGTTCTTAACACATGCTCACTTTTTTCGCTTTTGATATATTTACAGGAAAGTTGCAGATAGGCCGAGAGATCCTGCTAAGTGGAATGAAATCGCTGATGTTGTGTCAGCACTATCTATTCCAGTTATAGCAAATGGCGATGTTTTTGAGTATGATGATTTTGAACGCATTAAATCAGCCACAGGTAATCTGAAAAGAATTCTCATTGACTTCAACTGATTTTTCAGTTATTTTTGTTAGAATAGTAGATTGTAGACGTTGTGCAGGGAAACAAACTCCACATTTGGTTTTTATCATAAATTTCAGGAACTTAAGTTGTCTGTATTTTTTTATGTTGCAACCTAATCCTTGTCCTTATTAATGAGTTCTCTAAATGATGTAACTCGTGATGTTGGAAATTGAGATGAACCAAAGCTAAACAAATTTCTTCCTGTGGTGATCATAAATTGCATGCTCCTTGGTATCCTAATCGTAGGTGTTAAGGTTCCAACATAAAACCAATTGACAATATGTGGAGTAGCCTAACATGTATTTAAACCATACCAAATGATATGAGGTAGGCGATGTGGGACTTTTAACACACCCCCTCCAACGAAGCCCGCCGGACCAGGCAAAGGGTACTTTTGACCCAACTAAAGGGCAACTTTTTGGCCCATGACAATAACCGGAAAGATGTTAGGCTTTGGCTCTGATACCATGTTAAGGTTCCAACATAAAACCAATTGGCAATATGTGGATTAGTCTAACATGTATTTAAATCATACCAAATGATATGAGGTAGGCGATGTGGGACTTTCAACAGTAGGAACTTGATAGATTCCCTTCAGTTCTTCAGCAATTAGTGCGTATACCCATAGGATTTGCCTTCCCTACAGAGGCCTTGAATCAAGTGTCCAGATCATGCTATTGATAATCGTTTGTTATGAACCTTCATGTGGGACTGACTCATGGGCTTAGTTAGACACGAAAGATTCCTTTTTACTACCTATAGTGAAAGCTAAAAGCAAACTCGTCCTTGACAGAGGCCCTACTATCACTGATTTTTCTGAAAAGTTTATTCCTTTCCACCAAACTTAGTCATCCTTTTTATATGGCCTCAAATCAGAAGTGGAACCTGATTGATAAGATCATAACTAACAATTACCAACAATTATCATTTTAAAAATGAAAAACTAGAACTGATAAGGATCGTGTAACACAGAATCTTATGAAGAAAAAACATAAAAGAATCAAAATTTAAAGGAAGATAAAGTAATAATAATCAACCAAATATTATGTTGTTTCTCCTTTGTCGATAAGTATTCTCACAATGCATCCACATCATGGTTGGATTCACATTTATGATGACTTGAACTCTCCCCTCTTGGAGATAGCTTGAAATGATTTTTTTTCCTCCATATGACAACACGTGCACAATTTAGAGTAGAGAATGAAGGGAAAGAAAATTTATAACAATTCTAATTGACGTTGGTGTATGACGTTAGGTGCCTCATCAGTGATGGTTGCCAGAGGAGCGCTTTGGAATGCTTCAATATTTTCGCCCGAAGGCAAAGTTTCTTATGAAGATGTGAAAAGAGAATATATTAGGAAGGTATTTTATTTTTGTTCTACATTAACTACAATACTTTCTATGGCCTTTATTTTTTACCTAGAGTTGGGTGATAATCTTATAAATATGCAGTGTCTAAATCCTGACAGATTTTTATTTTTTTTTCATTCTTATTCTATTTCCAATGCTTATATTGGTAGAGGGCGTTGAGTTTCTGGATGTCCGGTTAATGTTACTTTTTCTACTTTTGATATCAGTGCATCTTATGGGATAATGATATAAAAAGCACCAAGCATACAGTAAAGGAAATGATAATACATTATTCTTGCCTAGAATTGGCTGAAGGGAAGGCTGTGAACAAATCAGACTCCACGGCTGATCTAGCGTAAGTTTATTTATTTTTATCACTTGCCTTCATGCTCATTATAATCAATTGTCACATGTTTGTAGACTCCATTTACTTTTCAATTACTTCACACTACTCGTCAGAATCAAAGCTTCCCAGTTCATTTGGAGATTACTTGATTATGGGATCGCATCTTAGTCTAACTGCCATGCTTTCTCTTTTGTCCTCCCTCCCTGTCCGTACATGACATTTTTATGCCATCTCTGTTACCTAGAAGTTAGAAAATAATTATATTATAATCAATTCCTTTCTCATGAGCTTTAGTTTAATTTGGCTTGGATAGCTTGGTCCAATTCGCTTGAGAGTGAATACTTTATTTTTTTCCCACAATAAGCTTAACGGTTCTATGATAAGCATCTGCTCATAAAATGAATTAATATTATATTGTCAGCTGGAGGCACTCTCTCCATAGGTTATACAGAAATAATGTCTCGCAAGGAAAAAAAAAAATACTTTGTAGTAAAAGTGAACTTTGTCCTTATAGCCATTTCTTTCAATTAATTTCAATTTTGCTTTGCCTTTGTTCTCCTTGATGATAGAAGTTAATCACTCTTTTATAACCATCTTCATACATTGTTGCTTTTTAAAATATATGACGTTGTAGTCTTTGATGTTTCAGGGAACTCTATGGGCAGAAAGAATACTACCAGTTAGTAAAAGAAGGCTTTTATTATGCTTCTTGATAATGTCTGTTGGAGCATAAATATTCAGGGTGAGGACATGGCTTCCCTGGTTTAGGATTTGGGCAGCTCCGAGTTTAATAGGCAATTACAAGAAATTTACACTACTCCCCAATTGATTATTCTTGAATTCGAACTCAACTCACTTGTTTGTGGTGGATGGAGATAGCTCGATAAGTTAACCCTCGCAAGCATGGATATGGATAATGTTATAGGCTTTATTCATGACTGTAATTTTTTACATGGAAGTGTAATATTTACTGCAGAGTTTTTTTTTTTTTTTTTTGGTAAAACATGAACAAAAATATGATTGACTGACTGGTATTACCGCAGTTTTTCTAATGACTCGAAGACGATGTTAGTTGGCACAAATGATTAGATTAATACTATCTCCGTTCCTAAAGAAACTTTTACTTAAGTAGTATGTTATAGGAAATTTGTATAAAGATACGATTGTTAAAGAATTTTATAAAGGATAAGTAAATTTATAAACAAAAATGTTATGTGATATATATATATTCTGTATTTTGTTTGTTGTTTGGGAGTGGAGTTTGAAGACTTGTACTGAACTAAAATTTGAATGAATTATTATTATTGTATTTCAAATTTGTAATTACATTGTCACTTCAAAATTTCAAGGTGATGACAGGAGATTATGTTTACCATTTTTAGTTATGTTTATATATATATAATAACAGGTAAGTATGGTTGACTAATATTCAGATTCAGGCTTAAAATGTTAAATCCGAATCAAGTGTATGATGTACGCTTTGACGTGTTGTCAACCAAATACTCTTGGGGTAAAACTGAAATTCTTGGGTGGGTTGAAGTGGCCATAGAAGTGGCATTGAAATTGGAGTTGTTTTGTTCAGCAGAGAATGGGGTGCAGAGCAATTCCAACAAAGCGAGTGCAACAACTCGCACTTCTATCCATCACAACCATAAGTGAGAATTCAAGGGTAATTTTAAGTTTGATACGTAAAAATAAAAAGTTAAATAATATATAAAAAAATATGATTCATAATCTAATAATTTTAAGATTTTAAATTAAAAATAATATCAATTTTTATATAAATTAGATTTATATTTCTTTAGTGTTATTCTTCTTATTAAATCTACTCGAAAAATCTAATATAATTTTTTTTTCAACTCATCTTTAATTGATATCCAAAATTTAAACTATTTAAAAATAACTTGTTATTGCCACCTTAGCAGTTTTGCAAACAAAGCATGTTGTCCGAGAACAGTGTCAGATGTTCACCAACTGGGACAATTATAAAAAAAATTATATAATAATAAATAAAAATAAGATATTTATTTAAAATTATATCATTAGTTTTAAATGTTTAAACTCATCAATAATGGAATCAGAACTAAAGTTTTCAGTTATTTCTTTCTCAATATAAATGATCATATTATCTTTCTCAATATAAATGATCATATTATCTACAAGAATTTCATCTTCCAATCTATTTTGCAGTTTTGTTTTGATAATCTTCATTGTAGAAAATGATCTCTCAGTTGTAGCTGTAAAAACAGAAAGAGTTAAAATAAGACGAATTAAACGATTTATTAAATAAAATATATCTGACCTACCTGTTTTTGTCAAAGATTGACATAATTCAAGCATGTTAGACAAATTCTTCAAATCTGGATGGTTAGGAACATCAAGTGTAAAATGATGAAATTGAAATTTTAAATTAATCTTCTCTTGTTCACTAAAATCCAAAGGATAAAATTTGTTCACAAGTGTGCATATATGATCAATGTTAAAAATTTTATAAACATCATTTGAAATTAAAGCATTGCTTAAAGTTAAAAGTTTCATTATTTTCTTACTAAACCTATCATTTAATTCTTGTAATTGTTTATCCACTGTAATAAAAAATATGTTCACCCTAAATTTAATTCTTGTAATTGTTTATCCACTATAATAAAAAATATGTTCACCCTAAAATGATGTTCTACTGTAATACAATCTTTTTGATGTCGAGAACGACTATGACGTGCTACATAGGTAGAATTAAAATTAGGAATATCAATGTCATGTTGCTCACAAAACAATATCACATCTTTCAACAAATCTTGTCAACCCTCCTCTCTTAATTTTTGAATCAAAATTTTAGTCGAATAGACTAACTGCATAACATTATGTATATCCTGAAATTGTTTCTGTAAAGCTTGACAAAGATAATCAGTAATTCCCATAATTTCTTTCATGATGTGTAAAATCAATACAAACTCAAACTCAGACAAAATATTATAAGCAACATCAGCATCACCCTTTTGAGAATAAGTTAAACCATCAATTATAATTTTTTGGAGAACTAAACAAGATGCACTATACAATTTCATCATACTACAAATGGAATGAAAATGTGAACTCCAACGAGTATCACCAACTCGTTTTAAAGTGTCAATTTAATTTTTTCCTTTACCAGTTTTAAGTTCACCAAGTTCTAACAATTTTGCTATTTCATCTAATTCTACACTTTGTAATTCATCATGACGTTTACTAGATGAACAAACAACATTTATAATAAAAGTCAAATTTGAAAAAAATTGATGAACTGGAAGAACTTCTCTTGAAGCAGCAACCAAAACAAGTTGTAATCTATGAGCAAAACAATGTACATAATAAGCATAAGGATTATCATGAAGAAATAATGCTTGTAATCCATTTCATTCTCCTCTCATATTACTAGCACCATCATATCCTTGCCCACGAATATTGGAAACATCAAGATTATGTCTAGAGAGAACAACACATAATTCTCTTTTAAGAGTAGCAGTTGTAGTATTCTTAACATGCACAATATCAAAAAAGCGTTCTTTAATATTACTCATTTTATCTACAAATCTCAAAACAATAGTCATTTGTTCTCTTCTAGATTCATCACGAGCTTCATCAACAATTATACAAAATTTTGAGTCACCAATTTCTTAACGAATATAATTTCTTACTTTTCTAGAAAAAATTTGCAAAATTTCCTTTTGAATATGATGAGAAGTATATTTTGAATTATAAGGAGCATTTTCTAACACAACTTGTGCTACTTTATCATTGTATGATGCTAAAAGTTTAATCATCTCAAGAAAGTTACCTCTATTACTTGAATCTGGAGTTTCATCATGGCCTCTAAATGCACAAGCTTGAAATGCTAGCCAACGAATTGTATCAATAGAAGTTTTAAGCCGTAAACGATTTTTGTAAATTTCTTCTAAATTTTGCACATTTATAACGTTGTCAATGTGCTTAGATTGATTCAATAAGTCTATACATGCTTTTATTGCATTATTATGTGGTGAACAAGGACTATCTCCAATGTGACTAAGAAACGCACAATTCTTTCTTAAATTAACCTTTTATTATCTAAATCATTGTCTAATAAACACATCTGCCACAGGACGACCATTTGACAGTGTACTAAATAGATAACATGACAAACAATAAGCTCCATCACTAGTTGGAGAATACTCTAACCAAGAAGGAAACATTTTAAATCAACCATATTGAAATCTCCTAGGATATTTCTCTTTAGAAAAATGATAGTTTTTAAGTTGTATTTGATATGTACCCCAATTTAAATAAGCTCTTATAATTCATCTCTTTGATTCATAGGATATTCATGTATCGGAAGACGTTTTCATGGGTCACGCTCCAAAGAATTAATATTAAATTCATTAGTTTTAATTCTATGAATCTTAGAAAAGGGTTATTCTAATTGAATAATTGGATCATCAATATCATGCTTTGAAACAAGAGAAGATGTTGAATTTGTTTGGTTTTCATCTCTACAAGTATCTCTTTTATCACTTTTAAAAAATAAATCTATTCTTTTATGCTTCATATCTAGAAAAAAAATCAATCTATTATTAATTTTCTAATTATAGAATCATAAAAATTTATAAAAAACAAAAATAGTTTTCTCAAACAATAAATGTTCCTCAACAAAAATAAAAATAACAAACAATAATAGAATAAACAAGTGAAAAGATGAAGAAAAAGTACATTTGTCAATCAATATAATTTCAAGTATGGAATCTGAGAGGAAGGAGGAAAAGAGACGAACAATGAATTTGAAAATACAAACTATAGAAATAATTTAATATTAATCAATCAATATTACCGTTCGTGAGAGAATATGAAAATGTGAGAGAATATGAAAAAGTGAGATGAGATGAAGAATTACTTTTAACTTTTCTTATTTAATATATTCTTTAGAAATTAGAGAAGCAATTAAATACTAATAAAATATGATGGTTAACGAGAGAGTATAAAAAAGTAAGAGAAGATAAAATTTAATTTATTCCTTCAATTTTATTTCTTTATGATATATTTAATATTGGGGGTCAAAATCATAAATATACAAATAAGTTATAAAACTTTGGGGGTTATGACCCCTTAACAACTATCAAGATCTCTCACTATCTATCTAATAATAAAAAGATTATTGAAATAACATGGGCGAGATCATTAAAAGATTAAGTTCATTGATTCTTGTATGTTTCTTCACGTTTGAGCCACTAAGTGATCTTTGCTATTTTTATTTCTTATTTTTTTTAGTCACGAAAAGAAAATGTAGTAAATTGTTTTGATACATAGTTTCAACGGCGACATGAAATGGAAGAAGACACCTCCGAAAGCTTTTGGAAACAACATTTCGAGATGTAATTACATTTTGAGCAACTTCTCCATAAACATGTGTAGAAGAAAAACTAAAATTAATTTCTGTAAGTTAAAATTAGATCATGGATTGATAGAAGTTTATTTATATAACTTTTTTTTATAACTCTTCTTATATACTTAATTAAAATTTATAAAATGTATTGAATCTAGCTATAAATATCAATTTTTACTGAAAAATTATAATTATATAATTTTAAAATAGTTCAAAAAAATATGGTAGTAAAAAGTGATATTTATGATGGTGATATATTTTTTTTACGAAAAAATTCTACTACTCTGTTAATTAGAGTAATTTATATAGCTTAAAAAATTATCCTTTTACACAATAATAATCCATTGTTAAAGAATGATTTATTTTTGGTAGTTGGATATTAAAATATAAAGAATTACTTTTTATTGTCACTAAGATTAATACTTTAAAGTAAATTTATTATTGCTAAGTTTTACTTCCATATTATATAATATGATTATTTTAAAGGTTTACACATATATTCGGATTCATGCACTTGAAACTTAAACATCATAAACTCTCAATAATAATAACAAAGACAAAACAAGAAAATGAAAGAGAATACATAATAATAATAATAATAATAATAATAATAATAATAATAATAATAATAATAGGAGAAAATAAATAATTTGGTAAAAAACAGAAGAAGAAAATGTTTAAATATCCAAGTTTACCCATTAATAAAGAATGACAAATAGTCTTTAATTATTAAATCAAGTATAATAAAATAAGTTAATAATTTTGATTATAAAATATCATTTATAAACTTAAAAGAAATTACCTAAAAGACTATTGAAAAATAACACTCAAAATATTTTATTTTTAAAAATATTATTTTTGCAATAAAAATTATAAAAATACTAAAATACTTTATAAAAAGTATTTAATAATAATATTTTTTATTAAAATATAAAAAAAATACTAAATAAATTTAATTATTTTAAATTATTAAAAAGTGGACATGAGTATAATTCCTTATATATATTATAAATTCAAAAAAAAATTCAAAGAACACATTATTACATGTATTGTGTCTATACCCTATAATAACACCTGTTACCACCAACCTAATTATACAACAAAATAATAGTTCACATGAATTACATTAATCATAGCCACTGTAAAGTTTCCTATATTTTCTCCAATCTCTATTGCCCATTTTCTTTGACTGTTTTATTCTGTTATTTTTCTTGCGTGGCAGCACTTTTCTGTTATTTTTCTTACGTGGCAGGATAGAAATGTAGAG